GAGGCAACAGTTTGGTGATTCTGTGGCTCCTCGCTCTCGTTTTCCAATGATGACTCATCAGCATTATCAATAATAAGTGGCGGATTATCACTAGTATCTTCCACAGAAAAATCTACGTCCTCAGCATCCACTTCATTTACCAAATCTGCCAATAACTGTCGATTATTCTCATAATAAATTTCTTCATCTGCCTCCTCCCCTCCTGAAGAATCCATGTCATCCTCAGACTGGTCCAGTACTTGGAGGTATTCCTCAATGGTTTTCGAATCCAGCGTCCTCGGCATTCTAGAAAAAAATACGTACGAAAATGTAGAAAAAATGCCGTATGAAACATACGAAAATGAAACTATTTATGTCTATAAATGCGCGATGTTGCAGTTATGCAACAAACAGATTTTGATAAAAAAAGTATATCAAAACCCTGTATTTACAGCGAAACTAATTTTGTTCCGTTTTCATAGTATTATAATATGTCTGAAAACATAAAAACAAACACCACTCACCTTACAAAAATACAGGCAAACTGAAAAAAATCTTCGAACAATTCACTAATCCACTTTTTCGCGCGTTCGCGAACATACACATAGAAAGTTTATGGTTTCGAAATTCAAAATTGAACCGCCTTGTCAGTTGTCAAAAAGAAAACAAAATTCTCTATTATCTGTGTGGATGAAATTCGGATACACGTCACTACAGTTTGTACATTAGATCAATTTTTGGTATGTTGCAGATATGCAACAAAGCGAATTTAAGGGTTAATTTTATTAAAAAATTTATTTTATGTGGTTTTATTACCTTTTACTGACACTAGCTGATGCTAAAGCTAAGTAAAGCGGGGTCTTTGACAATCCTCTTACTTCCCAGACAATGCAGAGGTAATAAAACCACATACAATTTGCATACAATTATTTTTTTAAATAAAATAAAAAAAAATAATGTTCGAGTTTTAAAAAAAAGTTATTTCTATATGTTTGAATAACGATCCTGATAATGTACTTAACGGGAACCACAGGGTTTTTGTTATATATTGTATATATATATATAGCAGAGTAGTTGTAGAACGAATGAGTCGGCTCAACAGGGAAGGACCACGCTCTCACAGAATACCAGCATAATATATCAGCTTAACACTGCTTTTTCAAATGGTGAGTATAGAGAACCGAAGACACTTCTTACTGGAAATGAGGCATTCCATCTTATTAGTCCTCGCGCATTTGCATTTTGATTCGTAATCGAGGATAGATGAAGATGTCTATGGGCCACAACAACCACTTAGCATCAGGTGGACTGTGTGCTTGTTTGTCACCCTTATCCTATAAAAAATATATATATAAGACAGTCATTTCGAATTTACGGACAGACACTTCAATTACATTCTAATATTAACATAGGATTTATCAAGGTTTAAATCTAAATTATTATGAAAATTGATAATTTGGATTTAATTGTACTTCAGAGGATCAGCAGTCTTCCAAAATGTCGAAGTATGTAAGCAAATTAAATTATACATGTTTGTTTTGCTGAATCACTACTGCTCACTATTCACATTCAAAACTTGCAGTTATCAATTAACAATTGTACTTTTATAAAATAAACAATTAGTGTATTTTAAACTTAGCGTTTTAGTTGTATTGTCATTAACAATGTGTGGTTAGAGTTGGGCTCTACACACAACTACAAGCAACAAAAGTGATAGACAACAGGCAACAATGAAATTGGTAATTGCACACCTCAAACATGAAACAAGAGAGGTTGAACTTTACTGTCGACTTGACAAGGTCATGCTACTCGCACACTCATTAAATTTGGTATATTAGGTAATTTTATACAGCACTATATTAAATTTAAGTAGTTACATTTTATCATGTGCTCAACAGTGCCAAAAAATATTTTATATATTTGATAAAATGATCTATCTAATGAAATATCAGTGCCAGAAAATATATAAAATATTTTATATCTCATTAGATAGCTTTTCTGTGGGAAATTAGCATCAATCATAACTTACTAAAAGAAAGATAGTTTAAAATTAAAAATTTTGTACAACCGACTTCAACATAAATTATTAAGAATAACTCAAAAACTATTGGTCAGACCTTGATCAAATTCATATGGGATCACATGAGAAGTACCAGCTTTCAAATAAAAAAATAATCATCGAAATCGGTTCACCCAGTAAAAAGTTATGAGGTAACACACATAAAAAAAACATACAGTTGAATTGAGTACCGTCTCCTTTTTGAAGTCGGTAGAAAATGAGTTAATAATAAATGCTAGTCATCTTCCTTAATAAATTACAAAAATCTTAATAGCGTCTGTAATTAATAAAATAGTGTAAAATTAATTAATGATTCATTGCTTTTGAGCAGGCCTATATTCAGATTGGATTTGTAAAGGGCTATAATGATGATGATGATCACTATGATAATGATGATGAGTAATACTAAGAAAATATTCCTTTATTTTTTAAGTTTATTTGTTAATTATTCAAGCATATTAATGTACATATTATTTAATATTTCCTGTTTAGCAGCGGTGTAATAGAATACACTACCTTGTTACCGTTACAGCTTAGTAAAGTACTCTCAAGTGGGTTAGCAACCACAGCTTTTTTATATTTGGTCATTATTAGGAAGACGCTCCTGCTGATCTGATTTATTTTCCTCTGTCGCCTCTTACAACACTCACATGATGATATGGGGTAATGGATATTCTTACACCACCACTACACAATATCAACCAAATACTAGAGCTAACTACGTGGTAGAGCTATGCTGCAGCTATATTAGTAGTATAGTTATAGCACAAATAGGTCGGCTCGGCCAGGGAAGGACCACACTCTCACAGAATACCAGCGTAAAATAGTAGCTTAACGCTGCTGTGTTTCGTATGGTGAATGTAGAGAACCGGAGACCCTTTTTACTGGAAATGAGGCATTCCATCTTGTCCTCACGGGTGACAACGCATCTGCATTTTAATTTGTAATAGAGGATAGATGTAGATGTCTATGGGCTGAAGAAAACACTTACCATCAGGTGGACTGTGTGCTTGTTTGTCACCCTTATCCTAAAAAGAAATACTATATCATATCATACAAGTACAAAAAGAAATTCATGGCTTCCAATAGACAGTGGCATGGACTTATAGATATCCTATTTCAAAGTCAAAATATTTTTATTCAAAATTGGCCTTTACAAAGCACTTTTTGAAAGTGAACAAAGCTACACCATAATTTCTGTCATATTATCATAATTAAGAGCACATGTAATATACGCGCTTAATTGTGGCATTGTGGAAAATAATTCTTAAATTAATAACAAGGATGTAAAAAAATAAGTCTTATTTACATCCTTGTTATTAATTTATTATATTTTCAATATTATTATGAATACTTATGCATTTGATATATTAATTTTATTATTAGAATTAACTTGAATGAATGTAATATTACCCTATGATCCTTGTTAGTCGAAATAAATAAATGAAAATAATTTCACGTGCATAAAAATACATAATTCATAATCTTTATTGCAATCAAATGGTAACAATAGATGTGTTTTAAAAAATAATCCGCATTTGAAAGCCGGTTTGGGCGTAGCAATTATAAAATATTAAATTATATTATTAGATTACATCAATAAATTAATTAAATTAACAATCACATTGTTATGTCAAAGAAAGAACAATGATAATAATAATTATAATTACAATAATAGGAAAAGAAAATTAAATATAATAAAAGATTCTTTCTACTTCCCCCATGAAGTACACTTTTAGAAGTAACATTGTCTATATTGTTTTTGAATCTGAACCATTATACTTAATTAACTTATTTCTTGAAATTACACAACTTTACTTTTCAAAGTTCCCTTTAAAATCAATTCGACTACACCACAGGGGACACATGCAAAAAAGACAAGGCTCGGTTATGAACTGAACTATTTATTCTTTTTCTCCATGCATACTTATAATAATATGACAGCTTCAACAAATCCCTTCTGCAGATGTTACAATACTCAGACTGGAGTTGTTCAGAAGCATTAAAGATGTGAGCATTAAAGATTAACCGTGTAGTTGCAGTGTAAGAATGTCTACTACCACGCATAGTTTTGTGTTTCATTAAAGGCTATAGAGGGATATAAACTAAGAGATGGGCAGCAGTGTCTTTATAGACGGCTCCGTGGCGCAGTGGCTTAGCAATGAGTTGCTGCGCTGGGGGCCACGGGTTCGAATCCCGCATGGAACAAGTATTTGTATAGCCTACAAATAATTGTTCTGGGTCTGGATGTTTGTCCTTGTGCAATTTATGTTTGTAAACTGCCTCCACAAAACAGGAGAAAATTCTAGTGTGGGGGTAACGTTTTTTTAAGAAAAAATAAAAAATAAGAAAATACGAAAATACACGACCTCACAGAATACCAGCGTGAAGTAGAGGCTTACCTCTGCGTTTCGCTTGGTGAGTGCAGGTGGCCGGAGGCCCTTTTTACTGGAAATGAGGCATTCCATCTTAGTCCTCACGGGTGACAACACATCTGCATTTTGATTCGCAAGCGAGGATAGATGTAGATGTCTATGGGCCGCAGCAACCACTTACCATCAGGTGGACTGTGTGCTCGTTTGTCACCCTTATCTTATAAAAAAAAAAAAAAAAAAAAAAAAAATAACTAGAGAAAAGCTATGGTTGCCAACCTGCCTGCTAAGTGTGGCAACTATGGCATGAAGCAAGAACCCCTTATGAGCTATTCTATGTTCTGCAGTGGACTTTGATAGGCTGTAATGGATGAATGAAAGATACGAGACATGTGGTACTGCAATAACCAATCCTAGGGGTGGCAGTCTGCCTTAACATTTATGGCCTGATAAAGAACCCATTACACAATATTTAAAATGCTATGCTATAATGGATGGCCTTTGCTTTCTTAAATTTATATAGACTCCAAACATCCATAGGATAAAATAGAGTGAAAAATTCTCTTAATGCTATGCCAGTAAAAAAAATTCTAACCATTGTCCTTGATGAACTCCTCTGTAAACTGGTGGCCCCTCATTCTCTGAAGCGCCGCTGGTGCTGGGCGTAGTGGTCTTGCAGCTAATGCTCTCACCCATGCTGGTGAACCAACTTGAGAGGGCCGTGTTTCCGCACTTAATTCGTAACGATCTGCTCTGTGGTTGTTTGTGGGGATTTTCACTAAAAATAAAAAAACTATTTATAGCCCGCAAAAATAAAAATTGAGCAATTAAAATAACAAAACAAACAATCACATTTGAAATTTATTAACAGGTCTACACTACACCTGCCTTGGTACCTTTACCACCACCAAATTTCATGAATTTGTAATACTTACATACAGAAGGTCCATAGGTTTGGGCACATTTCGGACAGTGATATTTGTCTATATCGTCAGAGTGATATATTTTTACATCAACACAGCTGGAATTAATTAATAATGAATTATTATGTAGAACAGCACGTAAATTTTAACATTAACTGATATTGTTTTAAGGAATACTAGGTAAGCTCATAAATTCTTCTATGCATACACAAATAGCAATTAAAAATAATACACTTGTTAGATCCATGGTGACCGCGGATGTAAACAAAAAGATAAAACAGTAAAGACTACATCGCACTGTCGGAAAATAAAAAATGTATTCGTCCGGTAAAATATTGTTAAAGAAAATGACTACAAAATGTATAAATAATAATAAATTCCTCTAAAACAATTAAGTACAAAATGATGGCCGAACAGCAAGGTGTATGTCAAATCAAAAATACTTTCTTTTCACACACAACGCAACTTTAACATAAAACTTTATGTTTTTCTGTAATTACCTTCCGTGAAACCATTCACGACAACAGTCACATTCTATCATAAACTGTCCAATATTATACGGCTGACCACACAAACAATAGGTTTCCTTCGATGACGCCATTTTAATGGCGAATAGACAAACTCATATTTTTTTTCTCCACGTCGCTTTGGGGTGACCATCATAAAAATCCAGAATATATTTTATGACCATAAACAAGATATATGATCTCGCATAGAAATCTGCCAAAATCCAAATTTGTACTAAATTGCAAAAAATAGTGGATTATACAAAATCTTACATCTCTAATATATCAATTAAATATAATTTTTATAAAAATTAATGCGTGTAATTTTTTAATAACACGGAGAAATATCTTTGATGTTTATATTGTTACGAGCTTGAGGTTGGAGATAATTATAAACTGCCGAGTGAATTACCAAAATTGACTTTTTAATTACACAACACTAATTACAACTTAAAATCACACTAATAATAAAACACAATCACTTTAGTTCGCAGTTATTTCGCTTCGAAGTATTCTCTTGTATCGCCAATTCAATACTGCCCCGGTCGTGGTCTATACCGGCCTTATATAGGACCTCAGATAGTTTCCAGAACCTTCTACTGTAGCGACATCTAGAATATTCGAGTACATATCGGTCCCGAAATTTCTGGAAGGATCTCGACTCTCCTAGTTCTGCTACTCGACACTAGAGGGCGCTAGTGTAATTAGTGTTGCCATGTACAAGACATTAATAGTGGCGCGCAACACTTTCTTTTACTTGACACTAGAGGGCGCCAGTGTAACTAGTGTTGCCATGTACAAGACATTAATAGTGGCGCGCAACACTGTCCCCTCCTAAGACATGCTCGTCCCGAGCATTATTGGCCCCATAATAACGCGCCAGTCGATCCACATGGACAATCTTAGGAGTACCTCTGGCACTTTTCTGTATCCGGTAGGTTACGTCATTGGTCCTTGTCACAATCCAGTACGGTCCGTCCCATTTAGCTTGAAGCTTAGGAGATTTCCCTTTGCTGCGAAGTGGATTGTGTAACCACACTAATGAACTTTCATCAAACCCCTTGTTGTTCATTTTGCGGTCATACCGTGTTTTCATCTTCTCAGACGTTTGCTGGCCCGTCTGTCTGACGTGCTCATAAATGTCATTCATTTTGTTCCGCAAGTCATTTGCATAATCGGTTATACTGCGTGGGGCATCAGATGGTATTCCAGTGATCAGGTCTGCAGGCAGCCGCAATTCTCTCCCAAAGTTTGCGAAAGCTGGTGTCACTGATGTACTTTCGTGAACAGCGCTTCAACAAAAACGGTTGTATGTGCCTGTCCCAGTCTCGTTGCCGTTTTTCCACAACTTTTGCTAGGTACCTCTCCAATGTCTGATTAAATCTTTCTACCATTCCATCAGATTGTGGGTGGTAAGAAGTTGTTCGTGTTTTCTGAGTACCCATAACTCGGCAAGTTTCCTGGAATATTTGTGACTCGAAATTCCTTCCTTGATCGCTGTGAATCTCTAAAGGTACTCCAAAACGACAGAAGACTTCATGAACTAGTTTATATGCAACTGTTGAAGCTTCTTGATTTGGAATGGCGAAGACTTCTAGCCACTTAGTGAAGTAATCCATCACAACCATGAAATACTTGTTACCAGTTTCAGTTTCTGGAAACGGCCCCGCAACGTCAATGGCTATCCTCTCCCAGGGTGCACCAATATTGTACAATTTCAATGCGCCTCTACTACGAATTTGAGGTCCCTTTACAGCCGCACAACTTGTACATTTGCGGCACCAGTCCTCGATATCGTCACGACAGTGGACCCAGTAAAACCGTTCTTGGGTCTTTAGGAGAGTTCGTTTAACTCCCAGGTGGCCTCCTGAACAACCACTATGGTACAGCTGTAGAACATCTGGCACTTTAGCCTTAGGGACAACCATTTGCAAATGACACCTGTCTTCCCGACCATTTTCCCATTTATGGCACAGGACTCCATCCTGAATCAGCAAGCTATCCCATTGGGCCCAATAGCTTTTCGTGGTCGAACTCATTGCTGAAACGTCGCTCCACTTGGGCTTAGGAGCACTGGCCTTCATCCATTCCAGAATCGGCTTAATGTCCGAATCTTCCTGCTGTGCATGTTGTAGGCTGTCCTACCATTCATTGCTGAGCTGGTCTATCCTGAATATTCTCGCAGATACCACTTCTTTACCCTCTTGCCTAGTACAATGCTTGCAATCTTCAGGGCAAGGTCTTCTTGATAATGCATCTGCATTGCCATGAGATTTCCCGCTGCGATGTTCGATCACAAAGTCGTATTCCTGTAGTAGTTCAATCCATCTCGCAACTTGTCCTTCCGGATTTTTGAACTGCAATAGCCATTTCAGCGCAGCATGGTCAGTTCGTAAGTGGAATTTCCGCCCTAGAAGATATTTGCTAAAATGCTGCAAGGACTTTACCACAGCAAGCAATTCCCGTCTTGTGACACAATAGTTCCTTTCCGGCTTTGACAACGACTTGCTGAAGTACGCTATCACAATCTCTTGATCACCATTCCGTTGAGACAACACACCGCCAAGTCCTATATCACTTGCGTCTGTGTCAACTATGAATTTCTTGCCCGTATCAGGGTACCCCAAAATAGGTGTTTTGCACAGACGGTTCTTGAGCTCCTGGAATGCAATATCGCAACTTTCATCCTAGCAGAAATGTCGCTTCTCCTCTGTTAGCTTGTGCAGAGGTTTGGCTATATCTGCAAAGTTCTTCACAAATCGCCGATAATAAAAGCACAAACCCAAAAGTGCTCTAACCTGTGTCTTGTCTTTTGGAACCGGCCACTCCTTGACAGCGGCAATTTTCTCTGGATCCGTGCGGATACCTTCTTCCGACACTACATACCCCAAAAAACTAACTTTCCGTTTGAATAGTGAGCACTTCTTCGGACTCAACTTGAGGTTGGCACTCTAGATCTTCATGAGCACGCGTTCCAGGTTTTGAAGGTGTTCCTCAAACATACGGCCTACGATGATGATGTCATCTAAATAGACCAGACAGGCATCTCCAATTACCCCGGTAAGTACAAGCTCCATCAACCTTTCAAACGTTGCTGGAGCATTGCACAATCCAAACGGCATGACTTTAAATTGCCACAGACCGTTTCCTGTGGAGTCCTTAAGCGTCTCGTGGTGCCCGAGCCTCACAGCAGCTCTGACTTCAAGGTCGCAGATGCCGTCAATGAATGTCTGCACCAGGTTCCCTACAATGAGCGCAGGTACAGACTGGTACGCTTTTCGAACCAGCTTCTCCACCTCAATGGCCCACTGCTGCAGGTTTTCGTTACTGCGCTGCACGCGATCTTTGAGCTGCGCACGAAAGACGTGTTCCAGGTGAGCATCGCCATATCACCATAGCTCTCTCTCGCCTCCAATGCCTCAAGGAGCTGCTCGTAAGTCACTTCCTTACCGAGAACTTCCAGAACAGTTAAGGCCTGGTCGCGTAGGCCTAGGGTGAGAGCAGTCATGGCCTGATTTTTATTCCAGCCGTTCGCTTTCATGACAGCCTCGAACTGGATTTTGTGGGCCGACCAGGAAGAACTCCCGCCGAACGGTGGCACTTTGAATCCATGTAGCGAAGGTGTTGTAGCTACCACGGGAGCTGTAACTCCATCACCAATTTTGAGGTCGTTCAGCGTTTTCTTCACGTCAACCATCACGTTGTCAACCCGATTGTTCATTTAGTCGATACGGGTTTCAGCTTCCGACATGCGGTTGTCATGTTGAGCAACCCTATCCTTCACCTCCTTTATCTCTTTCCCGAAGGTAGCGTGAAGGTCCTTCATGAGAAAAAGCTGCTCTTCCAACTGACGGCCCTGTTCCTCCTGTTGGCGGGCCTGTTCTTCCTGTTGGCGGGCTTGTTCCTCATGTCCGCGCTGCAGCTGCTCTTCCAACCGACGGGCCTGTTCCTCCTGTCGGCGAGCCTGTTTCTGCAGCATCATCATCAGAGCACCTAAGTCAGATGCTGTAGATGCAGGAGCTGATGACCGACCGGCCTCCGTGGTCAGCAGCTGGCCCTCCGATGTTTCCGGCGTTGTATTACCAAATCGTCTCTGGTCCGTCTCCAGCTGGCGTTGACTTCGAGTACTGATACCCTCCATGTCGTCCTTTGGTAAAATCGGCATGATTTAATCCCACTTCTGACACCAATTGTTACGAGCTTGGGGTTCGAGACAATTAAAAAGTGCCGAGTGAATTCCCAAAATTGACTATTTAATTACACAACACTAATTACAACTTAAAATCACACTAATAATAAAACACAGTTCGCCGTTATTTCGCTTCGAAGTATTCTCTTGTTTGGCCAATACAATTATACAATACTGCCCCGGTCGTGGTCTATACCGGCCTTATATAGGGCCTCAGATAGTTTCCAGAACCTTCTACTGTAGCGACATCTAGAATCTTCGAGTACATATCGGTCCCGAAATTTCTGGAAGAATCTCGACTCTCCTAGTTCTGCTACTCGACACTAGAGGGCGCTAGTGTAACTAGTGTTGCCATGTACAAGACATTAATATTGGCGCGCAACACTTTCTTTTACTCGACACTAGAGGGCGCTAGTGTAAATAGTGTTGCCATGTACAAGACATTAATAGTGGCGCGCAACAGTACAAAACAAATAGATTGTAAAAATAAGACTGAATTCGTTGACTGACTGGACGTGAATCATATATTTTAAACTGATCAAGCTCTCTTTTCTAGGTACCTCTAATTTTATTATGGTGTTTAGACAAGGCTATCCAAGGTAACTTCTGTCAGCTCTATTTATTCCATCTCTGCACAGGGAGAACGACTCACTGGCCCATGAATCAAATAAGAAAGTCGATCTTTTTGGTTCACTTTTTGGGCGCAACTCGACTCTCGATGACCGGGGATATACACCGTCCACTATTACACATATAAATAAATAAATAAATAACCATCCCGCGGTGTGATTGCTCCATGATGGTTGTGCAGTTTACACAGCGCTCAGTGTGTAAAGTGCACAACAAGTCGAGTGGGCCTGATGGAGTCTCTCCTTTTGTACTGACGACGATTCTCCAGAGCTAGCACCATTTACAACGCCTTTTCTGGTACTCCTACACCCTAGGCGTAATACATCTTTGGTGCATCCGATCACTAAAAAGGCGACCGATCAGATCTGTCCAACTAGTGGGTTATCACCATCGCCTCCATGTTCTACAAAATAATGGAATCTATTATAAGCTGCCAGCTCATAAGGTACCTTGAGGATCCGCAAAACAGCTGGTTGCAGAACCTCTAAATCTCACTCAAAATCTCAGGTGTCCCGGAAATGACGCTGCCACATAGAACAAAATAAGAAAGTACAAAGTACAAATTAAATTAATAAACTAAAAAGAAACTTTCACTTATACTAAAGATGTGAAGATAATTTATTCCGTCCTAGTGTTGCAAACCGAAATAACTCACTTCACGTCCTAGATTTCGGGTTTGAATAAACTCTTTGTATTAGATCGACATCCAAAACATTTACCTTAAGTTCTTTCAGCACAGCCTGTCTATCTTTTTCGTTATTACACGTTATTTTTCGTATTATTCGAGCCGACCCATTCGTGCCATAACTATACCAGTAATGTAGCTGCAGCATGGCTCTACCACGTAAAAAATGGTATAGATACATCTTCAATTTTGTTGCATACATCACAATTCAGTTAAGGTTTTTTCCCCATAAAGAAAGCGAACTTTGCTGATGAAATATAGCCAGAGCGAAGCAATAGGGCTTACTTAACAAAATTTCTACTGAGTTCACAATCATTAAACCAAGGCTCGCTTTGTATAGTTCTAGATTTTTCTTCAAAACAGTTTTCCAATTTTGTTAAAGCTATTTTATATAGGTCGAATCTGGTATAAAATTAATGATGTCACTCTCTACTACAGCTGGTTTAGATAAGCGATCAGCCTCTTCTTCGCCTATGCCTTGATTGTTTTTAAGCTTTTGGGATTATTTGCATGCTATTAGGGCATATATGACCATTTTTAAATTTTATCTGTCTGTTGGTCTGTCTGTCTTTTTGTCTGTCTGTTCAGGCTAATCTTCGGAATGGCTGAACCGAATATGTTGAAACTTTACAAATAAATAGAGAGTAATGCCAAAAGGGATCTAAATCTAGGCTATATTGAATAAACAAATATTTTATAAAACAAATGATCTTTGATTATCTTAAATCTACATAGTCCTATTTAAACAAAGCCGAGGCGGGTCGCTTGGTTTTATAAAACAAACGTTACTCCCCCACCACCCCCAAATTTCCCAACGTTGAAAATTTCTTTTGTATCTAGGAGACGCTTTATATACAATAGTTGCGCACGGACAAACATCAAGACCCGAAACAATTAGTTGTAGGCCATGTAAACACTTGTTCCGTACGGGATTCAAGCCCGCAGCCCTGCAGAGCCGCGAGCACACGCTGGATCACGGCATCACAGAGTTGTGATATAACTTTACTGACAGTTATTGTAAAAAAACAGTCCATGGCTCAACATAGTCCTTCCAAGATTGCCTTATAAGAGGGATGCATGTATATGCCATGCGTGGCAGGCGGGTTGGCAACCGCAATTTTTTATTACTTTACACTAGCAAAGGCCGGCAATGACCTGTCTGTGTATTTAATTTTTAAGGGTGTACAATTTGATATGCTGTAGCGCCATCTAGTGGTGAGTAACAACAACATGGATAGCATAAAAACCATCTCCCAATGAAAAAAATGTGTCACCTTTCATCATAGATTATTGTATATATTATATCAGAGACCTTTCATGGTGATCGGTCAAACGGTGTCAGTCTATTTATCACTAACAGATATACCAATATTATAGTTTATGTACATAGATTATTATTAAATGCAATACATCTCAAAACTACTTTCCCTAAAGAAACAGCAAGCACACTTCAAGGGCACATGCCTCTTAATTTCTGAGAGGGTTGTCGAGAAGAAAGAGTCATTCAGTCATGCTGCTCTGTTAACAGTTGCAGAATGCAGACTCACATTGTTTTTCCTTCACTCTCAATTACGTGGCAA